TCTGGCAGCACCTTTTAGACAAAACAAACTGCAGGCTTTAATTAAGCATTTTACAAAAGCTATTTTCCAATACTGCCAATAAAATGTCTGGGCTATTTTTACAGTCTTAAAGTGTTAAAAAAAAAAGGTGCTAAACAAAATGAATTTAATTTTAAACAAGGATTTGTATGTCCCAAGGAGAGGATTTTATTTTCAAAGCTTCTAAAATCGATTTGCCTGACTGCCAAAAGCAAGTTTACTTTTCAAACCAATGAAGAGCATCTATTTCTACAGGCTTTTTCTTTTACCTATCTCACTTTATCCTGTTTACCCACTGCGATAGTTTAGAATATCAAATATTATACATATGGAAGAAATTACATTAAAAGACCGCTATCACTGGCATATGTCAATGGATTATTAGGAAAGCCAAACTTCAGTTGAGGAAACGACCACTAATGAATGCACCCTCATTTCACTATTGTTCTTATCAATGTTCCTGTGGCATCCAAACAGATGCACACACTATTTGTGTTTGGGAGGTAAAGACTATCAAACTTCTCCCCCAACCAGAGTTAAAACATGCAATTCTAGTACAGATCAAATTTTTTTTACTCTAAAAGCCATGGGTAAACAGTTTAATGTAATAAAAATCATCATCATTATAATGCTCTGAATGAATGACTTACTATTTTGTATTTTCAAACTCAAGAACACTAGTAATTTCCCTAATTCCTTGCCTATATAACAATCTTTCGTCAATGGGAAAATAACAGATGGAACATCTGATTAAAGGGTAGCATATTGTGGCAGGTGGAGCACTGGACTTGAAATCAGATGCATGGGTTTGATTTTCAGCTTGGTTGCCACTTACCTTATTGATCAGAGGAGAATTCTTAACATCACTTTCCATTCCAGTTCCTACTGTCTCCCAGTAAAATAATGAATGTGATTGTATTTTGCAAATGATAAGGCAGCATGCAATTGTAAACCATTCCCTCAATCAATAAGTTGACAATTCAACAACAGTTCCCTTTCAAATCACATCAATATTCCTTACTTACTTCCCTCTATCCTGGTTACCCCCATCTATTCTACACAAAAATTGGGGGGGCACTCTAGAAGTCATATTTTGTCCCCAAAACAGCTTCCTGACAATGACTGAAGTATTTTGGTTCTTGTTTGGCAATTAGGGAGAGGAAAAGAAAGCAAGAGGTCTTGTTTGAGTTTTTATGCATATGTGATAGTTTGCTGTGCTCCATGAAAGTCCTCAATAGTCCTTGGTAAAGAAGGTGTTTTGTTAGTGTCTGAGATTTTTACCCTGGAGCATCGCTCTTAACATAGAATGAATTCTAATAATAATGATTACCAGCAACTTTAGTTAACTTACTGATTGAAGTTCTCTTTAACTGTTGTAGGTCAAATACCTCTACTCCAAAAGACTGTCCAGTTTTGAAGGGGTCACAGGAGATGTTGCTTAAAATAAGTGAGCCATCAATAGTGCCTGAGAAATCTTGGTTCCATGGAGATAGTATTCTAATAATTTATAATAACTAATTTCAATATAACAGAAATAAATTGCGCTCAGCACCTATAATTTATAGCAAGAGCATTTGGTAGGAGCACACTGAAAAGAAGCTTACACTTCCTTCATGTTGAGAGTGTCTAAAATTTCAAAGAGTGATTGTTTTGGTGTTATTATTATTTTGCTTTTTAATACCAGGTACTATGATAACATTACTAATTTGGCAGACAAATTCTCTCACCTCTCCCCTAGAGCTGAGCCCCTCTCATTCTACTATCCCAGGAATGAAAAAACCTGTGTTTTTTTTTTTTAACCTCAACTCATTTCAGACTATGAATTCTACTTTAGATACGGCAGTAAATGAAGCAAAAATGCATATGTGGGTCAAAAGTCAGGCTAAACACACATTCTCCTCCTAAATTGTCAATGCTTGTAACCCATGTGTTTAAAATGTGAATAACTATAAGAAAGTGAAAATCAAAATCAACAAAAAACTATGAACCAGAGACACTTTTTGGGGGGTGGGGGCCGGGAGGGGAGGGATTGGGGTCAGAATGGGGCATGTGCAGTTGTATGGGGGAATATAAAAATAAAATTTATTATTTAATAAAAAAAATTATTCCTGAGGGCTTTTTTTCTAATTATCTTGAACAGTTTTCAAATACCTACTTACACACAACGTGACTGCAGGTAAATGAGATTACTTATTAATGTTGTGTTACATGAAAAAAACTCTCACTTCCCTCGTCTTGTGTCATTTCACTTAAGTTATCCCAACTGCAAAGTTCCCAACTCTGAACAACCATGTAAACCATCTAAAATAAAAGTAAAGAATGATTGAAAAGTGAGATCTGAGGACAGAGAATTTCAATTTAGCTTTGTGTTTGTAAATGTAGCAATGACAGTAACAATGACAACTAAGGTAATAGTTGTATAATTCATGTACAATACTGACTATGTGCCAGGCACTGTTCAAAACACTTGTCATAAGTTCAGATTACCTTCTAAGACACGGAAATCATAATGAAGACTGTGTTTTGTTCCTTTGTCAAAACATGTTTTTAGTTTTCTAACATGATCTAGTTTTTATGTTCCATAGGAAAGTGAAGAGAGATTGGAGAGGGGGAAAATTATTACATAACTTCACATAAAAAAAAATCAAGCCTGTTCTTAACATCTCACAGACAAAATCCTACCATATCAATTCACATTAAATGCTAACAAAAGCTATTTTTCCGTAATGAGCTATTTTTACATCTCCTTCCTTCTATATAACTCAGCAAATTATGTGCCTGAATCACCCTCAGGACCAACCAATTTTGCAGGAAACTAAATCATCAGTTTATATTGTTGAAACTTCAGTGTTAATCCAATGACAAAATAAAAATATATTTGCAAAGTGCTTTAAAGTTCCAAGGTGCTTCCACATTTTTCTCTAATTTCAAACTAAGCACCTACCTCCCTGTGAGATACAGCCTCCGTGCTGCAGTCACTCAATAAAGTAAGGAATTTCCTCAATGAACAAGACATGTAGAGAACATTAAATCTCCCCAATAGCTGCAAAGTCCCTTGACATTATTTATAAATCAGCAGCTTATAATAAAATAATGATAGTTTGGTCTTGATAATCATTGAAACATCAGAGTTTATTTAAGGAACAAGAAGATTTCACTAATTTTAATCTTAGTTTAAAAACAGTATTGGAAAGTATAGACAAACCTCTAGGAAAACTTGTCCTTTACAAAGTACTACAGGGACTCAGGCCACTATGGATCACCTACTTATAAATAGTGATATCAGCAGTTTGACTGATACAATAGCTTGAGACCAATTTGCAGGTATACTTTACAGAATAAAACAGATGTGTTCCTAAAAAGCTGGTTATGAATTAAATTCTTGGTAACAGAATTTATATTTGAAATGCAAGGTTCTGGTAGTAGTGGGGATTGTGTGGGTGTGCTTGTGCACATGCATATGTGTGTGTGTGTGTGTGTGTGTGTGTGTGTTGAGGGGGGGCTCACAATTTAAAGATCTGAGTTAAATCCTTTGGCAAGCAAAGCATCCTTTTGTCATTTTAATGATCGCTCTTTAATGTGTCCGTGCTGCAAATGTGAGTTTCTGTATGACAAGTTTTCTATAGCAGGGGGAGAAAGAGGAGGGGGGGCTACACCTGCACTAAATAGGGAGCTTGTTAGGTGACTGTTGTGATCAGTCCCCAACTTGTTCTGCCTGATCAAGCACAGTGGGCAGAGATCCAATCACAAAAGCATTCCACAAAGCAAGCAAAGCAAAAATCTTCACCAAACTGACTACTGGAATGAAAACTGCCGGGGTCCATCCATTCCCTTCACTGGGAAAGAAGCGCATTCTACTAAAAAGGGAAGGCAGTTGAGACTATGGAGACCTGGTCTTCCGAAATTATTTCAGAATGACTGCAGACACACTGATAACATCATTGCACAAGGTATACAGTATGTATTTACTCGAAGCCTTATTTCCAAATCTGGCAGGTCCTACCCTTCCGTATTTGTTACTTTGGAAAAGTAATCCTTTCAAAAACTTCCACTGTTCCAAAGTAGGCTGCCCCTGGGGTCAGGTCTTCCACTAGCTTTATTATCTTGGTTTCCTGGATTTCCAATTAGATGTTTTAAATGCTTTTTAAACCTTTCAAACAATATCCATACCCATTATCAAGTTGTCACCGCACCCTCTTTGGGGGGAGTTACATGAAGAAAACGAGGCACAGCGAAGGTTACTCGCCTGTCACCACTAGTGACAGAGGAAAGGAACACTCAAGGTTTCTGGCAATTTATCCTGTGTAGAAACAAAACAAATCAACACAATAACATGTTCCACAGCCAAATAATCTTTTCTTTCAATCACCTGTTGTTTGGGATTATTTGTTTTGCTCCTTCCAGAAATGCATACTAACAATTGACATTTAGCCTTCTTCATAAACCACAGCAAACTAGCATAACGACGACTGCTCAAAGAAACTTTCGGAGGAGAAAGTCATCTCCCCCAAACCTTCATTGTTGATGATCACTAATCAACATTCTGTAGTCTTATAAAATGCCTGCAATTAAATATGTGCATTGATGGAAAACAGCTTTTACCTGTTGATTTGAAAATGAGTTAAGGGGATTGAACTGCTGTCCTGTTTGCACAAATCATTGAGTGTTAGGGAAGGATAGTATTTAAAAGCCTCCTCATGCACTATTTCCTTGAATTTTCACTATTCCTAAAAGTAGAGCCGGTGTGTAAAAGATAATGGGTTCTTTTCAGATAAAGACACTTTATCTGGGTTGGATTAAAACTTAAGTTTTTGCAAAGATCACAAGCTATCACGCGAAGGCATGAACTGTGGATTCTATGTTCCATGCTGTCAATAAAACATGAACCCACATCCCCCTAAGTCCACTGCAGACCTGGCTGCGCATCGATTCCCTAGGCAATGCCCATTAACTTCAGGGAAATGAATTCTAAAATCACCAACCTCTCTCAGGAGCGTCGAACTTCTTGTCGTCAGATCTCGCAAAGTCCATTCTCACGTAGGTGTCGTCGTCATCGTCAGAATCTTCTCGCTCGAGGGGTCTCGGCACCCGGCGGCGGGGCGGTGGTGCGGGGGGAGCAGCAGCGGCAGCGGCAGCCCCGCGGGCCCCGTCCTCAGCTCCGGCAGGGTCTCCAGCGGGGCTTGGGGCTGTGGGGTTCAGACCCCCGGCCACTTCGTGGGCCCCCCTGACTGCTTGGGCTTCGGCAGCAGGAGCAACAGGTTGGAACCAGCGGACGGAGGCGGGGTCATACCCGGCGGCGGCCTCCAAGCCCGCGGCGGCGGCGGCGGCGGCACCCATGCCGGGGCCGCGGCGAGGGCGGAGGCGGCTGCTAACGCCCGGCCCACAGCTAAGGCTGGCGCGGAGACGTCTCCCTCCAGGCTGTCGGTTGGGAAAGCGGAGACCGCGGCTCTGGCCGACGCGAAGGAACTTTGCGACCGGCTTTGTGGGCGTCTTCTCTCTTGCTCTTCTTCCTGCAGCAGCCGAGCCACAGGTGGTGGCTCAGAGCAGCGGCTGGGGGAGAGAGCAATGTCCATACAGCACTCGGAAAATGGGTCGACCACGTAGATGCGACCCGTTTCAGCATCGTAGCGAATGGCACTGTCAGCAAAAGGCACAGGTGGTGTCATCGCTGGGTTGAAAATCACTTCGATGTAGTCCCCCTCTTCCTCGTTAGCACTGTCACCTGCAGCCCTGGAACGCGGAGGAAACGGCCACCTAGCACCGTCCAGAGCGAAGGGGTTGGCACCTGGAATAGCTCTTAAAAGATCTGATAGGCTGTGTGCTGGATTTGGAAGTGGCACTCCGAACTCCACGTTCACGTAGCGAGAAAAGGCTGACTGTCTGGGGTCAACAATGATGCCCCACGAATCTGGCAGTCCTTGAGCAGAGGGGGCTGGCGTATTGCTCTCTCTTTTAGTGAAGTCAATGTTGACGTAGTCACTCGAACTGTCAGCTTCTCTCTGCTCGTGTGTGGGCTTTTGTGGTTTGGGCTTGATTTTATTTCCTTTTGTGATAAAAGAAAGTCTGTTAGGTCTCTTCGCCTTGTTCTTGGGGGGGCCATCATCTAAAGGCTTTGAGAATGACCCCCCAAGTCCAGGTTTTGAGAATGACCCCTGAACCGAAGGCTTTGTCGCTGCATCTTTGGGGCCCCCGATGGATGAGGCTTCTTTGTCTAGACCCTTTCCCAGGAATTTTCCAGTTAACATTGGTACATACTCACTGTGGGCACTTTGTCCTAAGGGGGAGCTCCGGAAAGGATTTGGCAGAGAGAAATAGGAACTCCAACTTTTGGAGGAAGAGCCGCCCTGAGGGTTTCTGGGGTTTTTTGGAATTGCACCAGCTCCAGGAGCCATAAACATATAGTCACTGTCACTGTCATTGTCCTTTGAGTCATCCTCTTTATCAGGCTCAGGTGCTTTGGGAGGACTGGGGGCAGGTGGTGGGCTCACTCTGGGAAACATCATCATGTACCCCCGGGAATCTTCAAAAGGTGATCGAGAGTGGCGTTTTGAAGCAGAGAAGTTTTGAGGAGCCATTGGCATATAATCACTGGAGCTTGCAAGAGGCGCGGCCACCCCTGGCCTCATTGGTACGTAGGGATCATCCTCATCTTCGTCAAAAGCCCTGGATCTGTGGGGACCCCGAGCTGCACCTTCTGGGCTCTCTTCATCTTTGACTTCTTTGGCTTCTTTACGTTCTTTTGTGGCCCCTCTGTCTGCACAAAAGTAAAGTCGGAACCTGCCCCCAGACTTCCCTTTTCCACCAATTGCTCCAGCTGGCGGGGGTGGTGGTGGGGGTGGTGGAGGTGGTGGCATCTGGTGTTGCTTGCTTTGGGTTAATTTGCCAAAGTAGGATCGTTTCTTCAGAGATTTTCCACGTCCACCATCGCCATCGGAGCCTTTCCCACTTCCTGAGCCTTTGCCCCCTCCAGAGTTCTTGCCGCCACCTGAGCCATGGCCATCTCCAGGTCCCTGGCCGCTGCCTGAACCGGGGCCACCTCCAGCTCCCTGGCCACCACCGGAGCCATGACCACCTGCGGTGCCCTGACCATGTCCTGAGCACTGGTTTCCTCCTGCGCTCTGGCCCCCGGAGCCCTGGCCCCCGGAGCCCTGGCTGCCGCTGGAGCCCTGGCCACCTCCGGAGCTCTGTCCCCCGCCTGAACACTGGTTTCCTCCCGAGCTCTGGCTACTGGAGCCTTGGCCACTGGCGCCCTGGCCACCTCCGGAGCCCCGGCCATTTCCGGAGCCCCAACTGTTCATGGGCATGTAGTCGCCTTCGTTTCCTTCCTCGCTCTCCTTGCCTTGGGGATTGTTTTCTTCCCCAGAGTTGCCAGAGCCGGCCCCAGCTGCTTCTGCGGACGGGCAAGCTCTGCGGACAGGAGCTTCTGCCGGGTGCGGGGCGCGCACCGGGCTGGGTGCTAAGCGGCGACAAAAGCTGGCTGGCACGGAGACCGCTCTCCGGGACCTGCGCGCTCGGGGCAGGTGCAATCGTCCTCGCCGGGAGTGGGGCACAGGCTCGCTGGGGGTGATGTAGCGCCGGGTGAGCAGCATGTCGTCTTCCCCGTCCCCGATGGCCCTGAGGTGGCAAAACTGCTCAAAGCGGGACCTCCGGAGCCAGCCGCCGGGCTCCAGCGGCAGCATCTCCAGGTGCCTCCTAGTGGACAGCAGGGTTAACAGGTGGGCGCCGATGCTGATGCTGTAGCTGCGGCAGCGGGCTCGGTATTCGTCTGCACACAGGGCTCTCATCTTCTCCAAAAACAGCTCGTGCATGTTTTGGGCTACCACACAGTCATCGACCTGCATCCAGAGCTCCCCCGGGCCGATGACGGTGGACCTGCCGACTTCCAAGAAGAAATACTGCTCCGAGTGCCCGCAGCGACGGATGCTCAGCAGCTGGACGACCACGCTGGCCACCTCGGTGTTGAGCCTCACAAATACGACCTCCTCGTCGGTAAGACACAGCCGGAACACGCCGCTCAGCTCTTTTCGGTGCCCCAGCCCCCTGGGTTTGACTATTACCTGCCACACATCTTTGTAGAAGGGTGGCTCCGCCGCCGCTGCCACCGCCCGCGCGGCCGGCTCTCCCTCCGGCTGCGCGCTGGGCGTGCCGCAGCGGCGGCGCTTGCTCTCGAGGATGAGGCGGCTGAGCAGCAAGTACCAGCTCTCTTGCTCCGACTCGTTCTCGGCCACCATCGCGAAGTACTCGTCCTGGGTGAACAGGGCGATGAGGTGTCGGTACCTGGCGTCGGCTCGCTGGCTCACGGAGAAGCACTGGTACAGGGTGATCACGCGCCGCGGCGGGATGAGCGCGGGGACCGTGGCGCCGGAGGCGGCCGCCGCCGCTGCAGCCGCCGCGGCGCGGACACTGTGCCGGAACTTCCTGGCATTTTCGTAGTATTCCAGGCGAGCCGGGGCGTCGGCGGTCTCGAGTTTGAGCACGAAGTAGCGCCGGTGCCCGTGCTTCTGCTTCCTCAGGTAGCCGCGTTTGCAGACTTCGTCCCCGACGGGGAGGTCCTCCTCATCGGACTCGGAGTCTGACCGGGAGCCCGTGGCTGTGGAGAGCCACATGGCTCCCGGACAAGACGACCCGGTCCCAATGAGTGCGGTCGGGGTTCCCGAGGAAAGAAGTGGGGTGGTCGCCGCCGCAGCTCGGGCCGCCGCTGTGGCCGCTGCTGCAGTTCTCGGTCTCCTTGTCGCTGGGTCGCGAGCGAAGGAGCAGCTCGCCATGGTGATGCACGACGGTTTTAAGGTGAGCGAGGAGGAGGGGGGGCGCGAGGAAGGGAGGGTGGGGGGGAAGAGGCCGTCTACCCCCGTCCGCCCGCCTCAGCCCCCTCCCGCCTGGGCCCGCGCCCCCGCCCACTTCACTCGCAGCGCGGCGGCGGCGGCGGGCAAAACAACACGTGACCGCGGCCTCACGCGGCGGCCGCAGCCGCTTCCCCACCGCCGCAGTGGAGGGGCTCCAGCCGCCGCCCGCTGAGGTGTGCATGAGAGGGGGCGACGGGCTCGAGGGGCGGTGGGCCCAGGGTGGACCGACGGGAGCAGGCGGGGCTTTCGGGCCACCCCTGTCCCGACGCAGAGCCCACCGAGGCACCCGAGGGCGGGAGCACGCCTAACGGGGCGGCCGAGACGGCGGCCCGCCGGAGGGGCCTGGCGGGGGCGCCACTGCCCGGGCCGCCACTGTCCGGGCCCCATTGGCTGTCGCGGGCGCGAGGTGGCGGGAGTGGGCGGGCGGCGCCGTGGCGGGCGGCGCCAGTTTGCTGGGCTGGCTCCGCTGCGGGACGGTTTGTTTGTTTATTTGGGAAGAGGGAGCCAGGTGAAACTATTGCGAGGTTCTCATTGGTTGGGATGGGAGCCAATGGGAGGGTCTGGCAGGGAGGCGGTCCTGAATTAATTAGTTTGGGTGCGGGAGGGGAGCTGGGGGCAGGGGGCGTGGCTTGGGGCCGGCGGGCGGCTCGCGCGCGGGGACGGTGGTAGCGCGCTGAGGCGGTAAACAAGCCTCCGCGAGGAGCGGTGGAGGGTCGTGATAAACTCCTGCGAATTCCTGACGCACGGTGACCCGGACCGAGCCGGGCGCCCTCTCTTTTCTCCCTGTCCCTCACATCAATTCTCTGTTCCGGTCACAGCCAGGTCCACTGGCTCCCGCGGCGCACCGCGAGCGGAGGGTCTTCGGAGAGGGCGTCGGGCCCCCCCTGGAATCGTGTGAACTACCAGGGCGCTCACATCTGCCTCCCGCCGCGCAGCTCACTCTCCCAGCCTGCCGCGGCCCTGACCGAAGCCGCGACTCTAGAGCACGCGAATAACAGTAATGCCTCCTAAGTGAACACAATCAGACCGCGTTTGTAGCCCACGAAACGCAGGTTGGCTAAACAGGGTGTCTCTGGCTGTCTGATTAATGATGACCAGGAAAGCATAAACTTGGGGGCCTGCACGGTATACAGCCATGTTGAAAAATATCGGACTCGTTTCCTCGGTTCTTACTGAAATGCATCACTGTTGAGCTGTCTTGATATTTTCCCGTGGCAGATGCTTTGAAAGACGCCTTTAAGAGCATTTTAAAATAATATTAAGTTTCCCTTCCTTGAGCGACACCGAAAAACTTTAGAAAAAGCTTGTACCTAGAACAAAGAATCATACTGAACACATTTTCCTAGAATATGTTTCACATCCCTCGCGTCAAGAAAAGAAGATTTTTTTTTGCTGAATTTCAGTTTACAGCTTGATGCCACAGAAATAAGAACTACTGCCTCCCTTGTTTCTGGAAAAACCGCTGGAGTGTAAGTGCCACCTCCTGAAGTGTCTCTCCCTCTCCCTCCCGCCTCGCTTTCCCTCCCCCCCCCCCCCCGCCCCGTTTGTCTTTTACCAGGATTTCAGCTTCCTAGGAGTAGAGATGGGTCGATATTACATTAAAATGTCACAGGAGTGATCATATTTGCAAAGAGGAATTTGGAGGGGAAAGGAAGGAGATATATATGGTATTTCTCTCTAAAAGAATGAAACGTTGGTTCACTTTTGCCCTAGGGTAGATGCTGCAGACGGTATTATTTATAAAAATCAAACGGTAAACGAGGCAATGCATACATCATAAGAAATCAACCGCACCCCTGCCCTCTTAAGAATGTCTTCTCTTGTAGAATAAACAGATTTGGATGACTGGCTCCTTTTTGATGCTCCCCATTTGGGGAAAAAGAAATTGGTTTTGGTTATCCCCAAGACATTAGAAACGCTCTAATATAACATTAGAAACGCTCTAAAACAGCATTCCCTCTGCTGCCACCGGTTTATAAGCACAGTCTATTCACAGGTGCTAGGAGCTGCCGTGGAGCTGAAAGGGACTAAGAGGCAGAGGGAGTGTGGATGCTGAGGGAGCCCTGGCTGGCCCTCCCCCCTACATGTTTCAGCTGCCTAGTCACATTGGTAGACGATCCCCTACACGTATAACCACAATGATAATGAATCAAGTAATTCGAGATTTTTATAAGAGGTGTTATGCTATTTCAGAAGCCTTTCCAAGCACAGGGTTTTGCTTTAGATAGAAATGTTTTCAACACAAGGCAATGCATTTGAAAGTGCTTTGAGTGAAAATAGGACATTTAAAAATGCGTTGAAAAGCATTAAACGGCATGTTAAAATTTGCAAAATAATAGATTTTAAAATCCTCATGTCTTAATAGACTTTTTTCATAGTGGTAGCTTATGTGGTATATAACTTTCTATCTTGTTCTTTTCACTCCACATTACAAGATCACATTTTACCATATTATTATGGATTAGCCTAAACATCATTGGAAATGTGGCAAAATATGCCAAGCAACTAATGTGTTTTGATGTATTTAATCATCCCTCTGCTTTGAAGTACTTAGGTAGCTTTCATTGTTTTTTCCCAATCTTATAAATAATGCTGCAATGAACATCTTATTTTGTACCTATAGCTTTTAAAAAATGCTTAAGTTTATTCACGTGGGGTGGACACCAAGGAGTCAAATTACTGGGTAAAAAAAGGTATGACTATTTGATACATTATTTTTCAAAAAAATTGTATCAGTTTACCCTGTTACCACACAAATTGCCAGAATTGAGCATTCTTATTTAAAAAAAACACACACTGAAAAGGTGAGCGAAAAGGTTTTTCACTTTTCCTATTATTTTTTCTAGTGAGATAAAACTTTTTTTATATATTGCTGACAATGTATTATCTTCTGTTAAGTGTCCTTTTTATGTCCTTTGCCTTAACGGATTCTGAAGTGATTTTCTTAGTATATGTAATTTGTATACATAATAAAAATATTAAAACTTTGTCATATTTGTTGCAAGTTTTTCCTGTCTGTTGATGAAGAGCATCATGTTTAAACTTGATAGAGTTCTATTTTGTAAGGTTTGTAGTACAGTTTAGAAGAGCGCTATTGCTACACACAAATGTCACCACAGTCACTTCTAACCTTGTTTTAAATGATCTCATATATCTAAGCTTATATGATCTTTTAAAGAGAGATCTAAATGTGTTCCATATTAACAACCTATAAAAGCGAGCATCTATGCTTGTTAAATCTTATGTAGCATTGTTAAACAATGCATTATAAGACATTCCCTCCCTACACTGGGGGAGGGGAACCCCCTAGGACTAATCATTGTGTTTTTAAAAAAGGTGTGAAAATAATGTTTAAACAATGACAGTGTAAGATTCACAATGCTGATCATTTGCACCAAAGTATATTATTTGGCTGCAACAAAATGGAATTAGAGATGGAATGAGATGTTTCATAGAGGGAGGGTGCAAATATTAGTACTTGTGAACAGGGAGAATGTGTGGCTAGAACATTATTTTCTTTACTTAGGTCAACCAAATCTCCTCAGTTCTAAAAGTTGTTCTAACACTGAAGCTTTCTGGAGGAGACCATCATTACTGAATTGCACCAGATGCTGCGGCTTGTCTGACATATATTTAAACGTTCATCTTCCTGGACAACTTAATGATATAGAATAGTTGTTTAGTTTAGGTCAGGTTTCCATAGGCAAAATAAAGCAAAGGAGTGCTGCAGACATCTCGATGGTTCAGGCAAAAAGTAGAGACTTTGTATTTGGCCTGAGCTCACCAGATGGTTGCTTTAGTGCTTTGCTCTGCTTTGGTTATAGATTCCTGCCTCTTTTTGTTTGTTTGTTTTTATATTTAAGGACAAATTAGTCCAGAAAGCTAAAGTAGATTTTCATATTCAGTTATAATTTCTGTAAAGTTTGGACTTTGAATCAAGTGTCTCAAGACCAGATTTTTAAAACAACGAGTAATAAAACCTACACCATTACTTGTTTGTCAGTGTTACTGTGCGGGGAAAAGTCAAGCACTTCAGCTGGTATTTTATACCTATAAACTAAGGTAAATGAATAAACATAGCTACAACACCTTTAAGACAGTTTCTATCTAATGAAGAAATATGTATTTATTGGGGTTTGCTTTTAAAGGGAATTTTCTGTGAATTCAGTCTTAAGAAAACAGTTATTTGACTGAATTGAATAATCAGTAGTAATATAAACTCATCTGCTTTTTTCCCTCATGTTCATGATCATCAGTATTCTAAAAACTTGTATTAAAATCAAAATGGATAATAGAAGTGTACATTCACTTGGCTTAAAATTAAAAGGTTGCACTAAATATGAATGTTATTCAAGAGAATAAAAGCCTAAGAGGGGAAAGTAACCAATATAAAAGCACAATTATTCTTGCCCACTATAGAAATTGTCCTTTGATTGTTAATTCTATAGTCTTTGTGAGCTGTTATTCAATTATGTTGATTAAAATGTGGTGCTACCCTTGATATTCAAAATGATGCTGGTGATGACGATTGCTTTCTCTGTTTGGACATAAATAAAATCACGCATGATGAACGATGCTTTCTACACTATGCAGGAATAAGAGCTGCCATGCGATTTGTGGCTGCAGCCACCGCTTGCTTGCAGATGACGGCTTTGAGTCTCAGCTTCTTTACTTCTATGCTACTCAAAACCTCTGCTGGAGAGAACACCCGTCAAATGCCTGACTGCTGCACACAGAACAGGTCTGTTTGCTGCTTTTGTTTCCTAGCAGTCTCTAGCTAAAGTAATTAGAGCAAATACATGGTTTAATTAGGCTCCTAAAGCTTTTCTGTTATCTTAGGAGTCAACTGAAAATTAACTCAGTTAAAAATTAAGCATTTCTTCCCATTTTCCAAAGATAAAACTTTCATTTGGAAATGACTT